AAAAAGGGGGTCTGCCTGGTTTTTTTTTTTTTTTTTTTTTTTTCCAGAGGTGTTATGTCAAGATAAGTTTTCTTTCTTCCTTTTTTTTTATGAAGATGAAACAGAAGACCAGCTATGGCAAAAAAAAAAAAAAAAAAAAAAACAACCCAGAGAAAAATCACACCCCTGGAAGAGAAATCAGGTCATGTGCAGAGATGGTATACTGCACAAAGCATGACTGACAGAGGCCCCTGGGCGCAATATGAGGGAAGTAACCGGTGTGTGCATCTTGAAAACAAAAGAAGGTAAGAAGGGTTATGGGAGAAAAGGAGGACATTTTAGGGCAATCAAATGTAGAGGCTTAGTGGACCCATGTGAAATCTACAAATAATCCAAACAGAAGGCCTGGGCACAGCTGGGGAAATGGTACAAAGATGACATGGACAAATGGAGACATTATTTTCCCAAACTTGGAGTCACAGTCAGGCGGCTGCAGGAAGACAAAGACAAACTCAGGTCGCTGTGCTCCAATATCTCTTCCTAGGACTTCAACGTCAGCGGCATTTTGTGCCGACTGCTTTTAATAGACTCAGATTAATGTTAATGTGTTGGCACCTCGGTCACATTTCTCATCGTTTCGCTTCAATAGACATCAGTGGACGTATGAGAGTCTGAGAGTGTTTACGTTTATTTTGACCCAAACTCGCTCTCCATAAACAAGTGAAATATGTTTTTCTTCTTTTGATATTCTCAGATAATTTGATCTGGAATAAGGATGGGTAGCTGTGGATTACAGTTTACTCTCATTCATATTTAATGTTATGGTTCGTCTTTAAAGTGGCAACTAAATGTAACCTCATTTTTAATTAGGTGGGTCTGAATATTCATTAAGTACTGCAAACTGTGACACAGCTGTCAGTTTTATAGTCAATAAAGTCTGATTTTTTTTTTTACAGTTTGGATCTTATTTATTTTTTAGCAACATTTGAGAGAAAATGATCCAAACAGCTTTGCTGTATCATATTTAATCATTTGCAGTGAAATATATCTTACTTCCTAAATGTCACTGCAGATTTCCTATGCTTATAAACCATAAATGTATTGATGTTTACTTTTGTTATCAAAAGATAGAAGAATAAGCTGTAAAAAAAAAGAAGTGAAAACTGTAAAGATGACGTCTAAGTGGAGAAATAGTCCAAGTGGTTAAACACAAAAGGAATCAAGTGATTAATTTTACCACCACAGGCATTCACCATTATCACGTGTGCAACGTGTTCCTTAATGCTGCAAAAAAGGGGAACCAACTAACATTACTTCATGATTTATGTTACCCAATTGTAATTTAAGAGTTCACATTTGTCAAAATACAAATAACAAAACACATCATTTAGTTTTATTTCAGCTCATGTGCATCTTTTCCATGTGGTGCTTTGTGCAAAAGGTGTTGCTCCAAGCAGCAGGACTTTCTTGTAATATTTTAAAGTGTTTTTATTTTTTTATTCAACTTACCCCCCCCCCCGAAAAGCTCCAAGTTATTTAGCTTAACGTGTAGAAATACCAATTCTGACGTGGTGTCGAGGTCACACCCTGAGTTGTATTGGTTGAAAACCTGGATCAAAGTTTGCTGCAGGATGGTGAATCTTTGTAGGATTTTCTCTTTTTTTCTCGTCGTGCTTGTTCTACGGTTTCAAATTAAGAGAACCTTCTTAATGGTAGGTTCAAGTACGACCAGACCCTTGGACTTCCTTTATATAGTGGATTATAGTAGATTATTTCCAGGTTTGTAAGTTTATTCCCTTCCATGATTCCGTTCATACGACCGTTCAGGCTCAGAAGAAATAAGCCCGACACACAGAACCACAAATACATCAACCAGCCGCTCAGACGGAGAGGTGTCATATCAACATCTCTGTTTCTTGCAAATTTAGCCTGGGTTTTATCTCCAACATGTGTGGTTTACGTTAATTCTTTTTTTAATATCAATTTTTGTGCTCTTTGTAACCCGACTGACCGTTTTTCCTGTTTGCAAAAAATGTATTGAAAACAAGCAGATTTATCTTTAGGCAACAATAGATGACCATCTCCATGGCTTATGTTGCGGAAATGTCCTCCATTATGCTGCATCTTGTGGAAGTCTAAATTCGCCTATTTATTTATTTTGTCTTTAATGCATCGCATTAGGGTTTTACGAAATAGACCAACAGACAGCAGAGCATATCTGTGAAACAGAAGTAGTGAAAAACATAGACTTTGCCCTTTTTAAAGATAAACATAAAAAAAAGTGGCCAGCATTTCTTGTTAACCTCATATACTCTAACGCACAAAATAAAATTCAGTGCAACAAATTGCATTTGGAATAGCCTATTGAGCACATGAAGTAATTGCAGTCTAAATAAATCTGCTATTAAAGAAGCTGCTAAAGGCCCCTGGTAACTCTGGAGGAGGTGCAGAGATCTTCGGCTCATGTGGAAGGCTCTGATTGCCATTCGTCCTGTGAACATCAAATCTGAAGGTTTTTTGTTTTTGTTTTTTTTAAAGAGTGGCAACAAAAACTTTTTCTTGTAAGAAGTAGCTTTTACAGTTTGTCACGTGCCATGTAGGAGGTACAAAATGTAAAAGAAGGTGATGTGATCAGACAGGTAACACTTCATGACACCCTGAGCACTCTGGGTAGTAGCAGCATCATACTGAGTGGATGTGAGTAGAAACTGTGTAGCTGAACTGCATTATATGTCTCTTTGGCGTAGCTTAGTTTTTTTTTTTTGTTACTTTTGGAGAATTAAGAGACATATTTCTCTTTTTTTTTCTTTTCTTTTTTTAAACGAGAAACTTCATGTGTGGATCCTGTAAATATCTGCCCTGGAGAACAGGATAGACATGTTGTTAACACAAACTCTTGAGTGAACGAAAAAAAAAAAATACAACCAAGAAGGCAAATAACAGTCATATTTACTGTAAGCTTTACAATCAGTGTAATAAAATGCACATTAGGAATAGTTGTAAATGTAATCTTTTTCTTTTTTTTTTATAATTTATTGTAACTTCAAACAAAAATAATTTCTACAAAAAATATTCAAATAATGTCATATAATTGATACGTGGTTTTACATTTTTCCTCTTTCCTTTAGACCTCTGATTAGTTGAAAGTTGGTAAACTCTGCTTCCTGAATACTGTGAAGATTAAAATCTCGTTAAGCGTGGCAACAATCACTCATTCCTACAACAACCATAATAGTGACTAATTTCTTCTTCTTCTTCTTTTCTTTTTTTTAAACTCATAACCCCTTCCCCCTGGATAGTATATAATATGTATAATCTCAGCGACTTCTAGTGGGCGCGTTTAGATAAAATGACTGATGGTACAATTCAAAGTAAAGATGCAGCAGAAATAGAATAAATGTAAAATCAAGTCTCATCGTCTGAGGAGAAATGAAACTTGGTTAATATACTATGTAGGCCGCAGCAGCAGAATTAAACAAGCTCATTCTGACCCGTCTGCCAAGTCGACGGGTCTGACCACACGCACACACACACACACACACACACACACACATACACACACACACATTAGTTGTCAGTCAGTCCAACAGATGAGAGATCTTTAGCTCAACCAAGAAGAAGGAAACGGAAAAGAATAATAATAAAAAAAAAAAAAAAAAAAAAATCCCGGGGGTTAAACAAGCCATCCCCTTTGAAGTGAAACAGTGGTGATTTAAGTGTTACTTTTTTATGCTTTTTGGTTTGATGCACATTGCTCCAGCTGAGGAATAAAGGGAACAGTGGTTGGTATCATTTTCTTCCCCTTTGACTGCATCGCTTTTCTCTGAGGCGTTTGTTTCTCTGCTCGTCCATTCCCCACACCTGAGCACACACACTCTCGGTGCCGTAACAGTCCTGTGAGGTGTGTGTGCGCGTGTGTGTGTATATACGTGTGCTTTGCGAGGGCTTAGGTAGTGTTTTCGGTGAGTGTGTGCATGTTTGAGTGCTGTCGCAAGGCGGGGGGGGTTCGGGAGACCAGACATGCCCTCCTCCGCCTCATGTTCCGGTTCCCCTTCCATGTGCACACACTCCTAGTGTCTGAAGGGTGGGTAGGTAGGAGGAGGCAGGGGGTGTGGGGGGCGTCTTTTCGTGGCTCAGTGGTGTGATAACGTGGCCAGCAGGTAGCTTAGAGTACAGAGCAGCAGGGCGGCCGTGGAGAGGCGTGGCGAAGAGGCGCCGTTGCAGTCCTTGCCCGCTTCGCAGCGGGACTGTTGGCACAAGACCCCTTTGAACTCCGGAGGACAGACGCACTTCTGGTTCATGTGGCACGTTCCTCCGTTCTGGCACAGCAGCATCTCCTCGTCGCAAACGTTAGCTGTGAGCAGAGGCGAGGAGGGGAGAGTGGGGTGGATGGGGGGGAAAAAAGATGAAGGCAAGGAGGGTCAGTTTGATCGGGAACAAGGGATAGAGCAGGAAGAGCAGAGTTCAGAGCGGAGAGAACAAAGCGGGAAGGACAGCGAGGGAAGGAAGGAAGGAAGATGGGCAAGATAAATGCTCCAGTTTTTTCCTTGGGGACACGAAAAAGTAACACCTGCTTTTTTTTTTTTTTTTTTTATTTCACCCCGTGTTTTTGCAGCCCTTCCAGTTTTCCTTGAGGTTGCACTTTCCCGGGGTCGAGTCAGAACTGTTTTGTCACACCCAGCAGAATAAATAAATAAATAAATAAAACGCATAAAATATGCACATGTGGAATTTGTTAAGTAATGATCTGAGAGTTGGCGCGTCATTAAAGTGCTATAAAAGGCCTTAGTGAGAGCACAGACAACAGCAGTTGGATATTTAAAAATACCTGACCTAAAAATGTTCGCAAGGAAAAGGAGGATTTTGGCTTCTGTGGCCAGAAATGTTTTTTGCCCCCCCCCCTTCCTTTACAGAAGAAACAATTAGTTTGCTTTGATGTATTTAACATTTA